GAGCAAGAGAGCGGAGGATGAAATCCCTTCTGGTGGGTGGGCTCTGGATGCCCATGTGGCCCTGAGCAATGAGGCTCCAGAGAAGGGCTGTTTGCAGGGCCCACCCCAGAGACCCCACTCCAGCCCAGCTCAGCCCCACTCAACACAGGTATTTATTGAGCAAACACCCCGTGCTGGGCGTTGAGCTAGTTAGCGCCAGTGAGACTCTGGAGAGCAAGATGGACATGGCGCCTGCCCTCATGGGCTTAGACTCTACTGGAGAAGCCAGATGACTGAACCATGAACTATCCCAAGGGCTTTGTTGTCACCAGGTGCGGTAGGAGTCTAAGAGCAGGAGCACGTCACCTGGAGAAGATGCTGGGGATGCAGAACAAGTCACATCCCCTCTCCAGAAGAGACGTGACTCGATAACATTCTAGAGCAAGCAGATCCTGGCAGGCAGCGTTTCTGACTCAGCTCACCGTCAAGATCACCAAGACGAGTCTGTTTTTAATAAACGACAGCTTCTTAGACCCTAGACCCCGAGTTTCTGACTCAGTCCATCACAAGCAATGCAAGTTCGTCAACATTCAATCCATGAGGCCTCTGATGACCTGCCAGGTTTACCAGCCACTGCTCTCAGAGGTCAGTGTTGGGATACTCAGAAGCACCCAGTTAAATTAAACAGGTAGAAGGGAGAAGTGAAATGGGCCTTGAGAGTTTAGGATTTCTTTGGACAGAGATGTTGGGGTGACTTCTGCCCGAGAAGCTGAAAGATCAGGTCATTGGCTAATGCAGTTGCCACCAAGAAATAGCACCGCGCATCAGCATAGTTGTTAGGAGCCAGCAGGGAATCCTATTTAACAGTGAGGAGCCTCCACGCAGTTGGATGGACCTGACCCCGTGGTTAGACCAGGGAGGTGAATTTCTCATTCTTTGTGCCGAGATGACGCCCACGTTTAGAAAGGAACCCACAGAAAGATCAGTGAGAAGAAAACAATGAAGGAAAAAGTACTTACCTGTTGTGTACGAGTTCCCTGGGGCTGCCATAACAAAGTACCACAAACTAGCCAACTTAAAACAGAAATTTATTGTCTCACAGTTCTGGAGGCTAGAATTCTAAAATCAAAGTGTCAGCAGGGCCGGGCTCCCGCTGAAATCTGCAGGGGAGAATCCTTCCCTGCCTCTTCCAGCTTCTCGTGATAGCCAGCAAGCCTTGGCGTTCCTTGGCTTGTAGACGCATCTCCCCCATCTCTGCCTCTGTGGTCAGGTGGCCATCCTCCCCTCGAGTCTGCGCCTGCCTCTCCTCTTCTCGTAAGGACACAAGCATATTGGATTAAGGCCCACTCTACTCCAGTATGACATCATCTTAATTAATTACCGACTACAACCCTATTTCCAAATAAGGTCACATTCTGAGGTCCTGGGGTTAGACCTTGGACATACCTTTTGGGGGACACAATTCAACCCATAACACCCATGAAGTCCCAAAAGCCTTCTCGTCTCAGCAAGGGCCAGATGCCAAGAGACCTCCTTCAACCCATCCAACTCGCATACTCTCCCCTGTGAGGTCATTCCATAAGACCCAGATCTTTCTTTGGAAAATGTTGAGAAGCCACAAGGTGCACTCGATGAGTCATGAAAACACACAGATTTGACCTTGTAAACATTCTTAACACAGCTATTCTTTGAACAGGCCCCTGGAATTATGCCTTTCAACTCAGTTTACACGCGTTTCTTCTACCCATCTCCCCCACCAACATGTTACCCAGAAATTAGTGTTGATGATGGTGCCAAAAGTAACTGAGTAGGGGCCGGCCGGTGGCGTAGCAGTTAGGAGCGCGTGCTCCGCAGCGGCGGCCCAGGGTTCGCAGATTCTGGTCCCGGGCGTCACCAACACACCGCTTGTCAAGCCATGCTGTGGCGGTGTCCTATATAAAGTGGAGGAAGTTAGGCACAGATGTCAGCCCAGGGCCGGTCTTCCTCAGAAAAAAGAGGAGGATCGGCGTCGGATGTTAGCTCAGGGCTGATCTTCCTCACAAAAAAAGTAACTGAGTGTTTCATGAAACTGCAGACTCCAATGTGACAGTAATCTTTAAACATCATGAGGTCAAGCTCATTTCTGCAGAAGATTATGTTCCATGTGACTAGCGGACAAAGACTTTCAGGGTGTGATATGCCTTGCCTCAGTAGACCTCGTTGCCAACCTGGGTTAGTGAAACCAGGAAGGGGTCGGATTTTGATGGCTCCAAGTGTCACCAAGCAGCCCAGCGTGGCAGGCTGTGGATTTCAGAGAAGCAAACAAAGACTCAACTGGACGAGAAATCCAAGGTGTCTGAGAGCTGAGAAAGATAAGTCAACAATGACCACATCTTCCAGGAGCAACAGCTGACCCTGGGAAGAGCACAGCCGTGCACTGCAGCATCAAAATTTCTACAGCAAACCTTCCTTATTTCCAGCTAAGGGGAAAACCTTCACTGACCACTGAACTGGCGGCTAGAGAGGACATGTGCTAAGGGTCATTGCCTAACCAGGGGTGACAGAAAGCTCCCTCACCTGGAAAACACACTTAAAGGAACCTCAGACCGTTTTCCCTATGGCCAGTGGTAGCCACTTCCCAGGTAATCCACTTACTTGCAAAGGAAGGCAAATCCACCGGCCACCTCTCCACCCCACTACCTCCCAGCAAAAGGAAGAGACTGGAGAAACACTCACAAGTCCTCGGAAGTAACAGCAACCTCTACAGGAATTCACAACAGCTGGTAACCAACGTCTCCCCCCACAAACTAGGGCAGTGGGCTCCCCAAGCCCCACCACCGTCAAGCCTTGAGAGAAGTTTCTGTCCCTCACCCATCCATCACCCTATCCTGTTTCGTCTGTTTCATTTTTAACATTCAAATACAGGAACTTGAGGTCTAAGAGCTTACCTTGACACTAGATCCTCCAAACAAAAGAATGATGGCCATTGTTATGGAATCATTTCAAATAAGAAACAGACGAACCCAAAACCTAAATTGTGTGCACATGGGAGATAAGACAACCATGAAGTGCTATTGAAAACACCCTCTCAGATGGCATGGATGTTAGCTCAGGGCTGATTTTCCTCACACACACAAAAAAACACCCTCTCTCTGACCTTCCAGAGAGCCTCTAAGTGTGCTGCCTGCGAGGCAGGAGGGCATCCTCAAGGTGCCAGGTGCCAGGATGGGCAAGTCTCCAGTCAACAGATGCAGTCCTGCTAAGGAGGCTCTTTCATAAATGGAACTCGAGACCGTGCGTGCCTTCAGACAATGGCGGGTTTTCCTTCAGTGCAACTAGAAAAAAAAGGAAGCATCATTTCTTCTCCCAGAGAGCCAAGACTTCAGCGGCATCCTGTGCCTTCATGAAAAGCAAGCCCAATCTGTCACAGCCAGTGTGCAACACTGGCACAGGGCGAAGGGAAAAGGGAGAAAGAAGCATGATCTTCACTAACAGGGGGCTTCAAACAAAAACCACCTTGGCCCACGGGGAACAATGCTCAACCAACCCGATGGCCGTACCTCAGACCAGGGCCACTGGAGTTTCAAGTGCTCAAGGGGCAGGGCACTTCTCTCTCGTGAATCAAGAGCTTGATGGAAAAGCTGAGGTGGCCAGCGTTCCCGTAGGGACCTCTTGAGGGTGCTTGGTTGTTTTGCGTGGCATCAGCTGGGAGGTGTTGGGAAGAAAAACCTATTATCATGCATTGGACCCAGGGAAGCCAGTGTCTGTCCTGTGGACTTCCAGTGGGAATGAAGAGAAAGACTGAGCATCGAGCCAGGCATAAGCCCTACTTATGACTCACTTCAATCCTTGGTTGACTTTGGGGCATTTCCAGAACATTGTCTGCCTTGCAATTAGGCACAGCTCCTAAAAGCCAGACTCGAGCCCAAAATCAAGATGCTGATAAGAAATAGTCCTTTTTCCTTCAGCCCTTTGCCCTATAACTTCCTTTTCACACCCATGTCTCATGTCTTGATTGAGAAATAACTGCCAACATAAGACCTCTTTTCCCTGCTCTAAAGCAAAGCAATTGTGATCTTGACACATCAACCAGATAAATCCAACTTAATGGGAACGTTGAGCCGCCAAGGACAAGCTGCCAAGAGCAAAGTATTAGGTTGGCAGAGTTTAAATTACTTAATAACATCCAGTGCCAACATTAAGTCAGGAATTGCTGAGCATTTGGTAAAGAGTTATGAATTAAGGATTATGAGCCTGGAGTTGAAGCAACAGCCTTATCCAATGTGGAAAATCCTCCTGCTCCCACTTCCCTTTGAAGCCTGGCCACTCATGCCAAACTATAAACATAGCACTTCCTGGGGGAAACGCCAGGCCACTTCAACTTGAAATCAAGCACCGGCAGTGTGCATCCAAGAGCCTCACAAACATCCAACAAGTACGCAAGCCCTGCCAGACTCTTCTGCTCCCCAAGTGGAGTCCAGAGACCCAACCTCTGATTTACCCGGCAGACAAAATGACTAAGATGCCTTGGATAGAGGTGTGTTATCAGGTTTCCAAAGATGGAGAATTTTAATTGAAACCACTGAGAGCCACACCTCTAATGCTTGCAGCATTTGATTGAATGCCACGTCCTCCTAAGGACTCTCTGCCCAAGGATGACCTGCAATCATTTCATTTCCATTCTCAAAATTTCGAGGTGGCAACTTGACCATAGAGTACAGTGTTTCTCAACAACATAGCCTTACACCAGAGACACTATTCCAAAACTGTTGGCTCCTCTCATTTATTGTCAATATGCTGCCTCTCACACATTTCCCAACACCCCTTTTTGGGGAGAGGATGGTACTATACGAAGTTGAGTGTAAGACCTGGGGCAGTTCAGCAGTGTTGCAAGGGAGAGAAAACAAAACGAGCTTTCCCTTGGCACACAACTGTCCTGCTCGGTCCTATTAACTGAGCGCAGACAAACCAGAAATTAGCTCTCCACTGTTCCACTCACCTTAGAGACCAAAAAAATCAAGTTATAACCAGACTTTCAGGGCTTCTATCGAGAATACTTTTTATTATACAGGTATCATATACACAACAATATTTTGGGAACGTTTACAGGCACGGAGTTCACTTCCAACTCCATTTCACCCATACACACGGTACCGCACACTCATCTGCAGGTCCAGCCCCACCGGAATGAAGACACAAAGTTATTGCTTTGTGAACAGAGCTTCAATTAAATAGCATCTTCCGCATCAAGAACAGAACCCAGGATCCTCTTAATTCTTAATACTCTGTGCACATACGAAGAAAACCTAAAGATGTGTTTTAGATTACCCCATCACCTTTAAAAGTTAATATTAAAATCGAATCCCATTTCTCAAAAAGTCATAAGAAGTGCACCCGTATTTACAGACCCCATTAAATTATGCATAAATAAAATCTGTACACTCAACGCACTGTTTCTCACAATACAGAGCCTCCTCTGGGACTTGGGGGTGACAGGCAGCAAAAAAATGCTTCATGCCTATACCCTTTTCAAGTTTACTCAAAACACCAAGATGTGAAATAAATATGCAAATAAAGCTTAGTACCTTAAAGGAACATGTCATTTCAGAGTCTCCCATTTGAAGAGTTAACTTGCAAAGTTTTTTTTTAAAAAAAGAAAAACATAAAATCGTCAGCAGGCTTTGTTTCTCTACAAGTTTCGGAAAACCCAAAGGCCCCCTTTGAACGACGGGTTTAAAATGTGTCAAATACCACCTTTTAACTAGTTGCTAAGCAGACAGAATCTGTTACATCCTCCCACTGCATGTAGGATTTGATATCTGAAGAAGCTAGATACTTTTTTTTAGATAAATATTTAGTGGACACAAAAGCCAGCCATTACCTTAACACTGAAGGTTATTGTTGATCTGAATCACATCAGTGTGACATTTCAACAGCTAAGTGTGTGGGTTTTTCTTCACCCAGGCAATTTATTTTAAAGGTTCTAAAACTTGTAGCACCACTTTCAGAGAAAGGAAAAATGGGGTTCAAAAAAATAAAATACAAGCTTAATGAGTAAAGAACCAGTACTTGTCACCTTCTGATAACTTGTCCAGAGTTAAGGAGATACTTCAGCGCTAGAGAAACAACTAACAATCCGGGAGGGCACGCGCGGATCTGGAAATCAGTGGAAGCCTTTTTAATGGGAAGGTGGGTAAAAACTCTGTCCACCAGGCCAGAGGGGTTCCCAGTCTGTCCAGGTCAAGAACGACTTCAGAGGCCTTTTCCTTCAAGACTCTTCGGCCCTTCGTTCCCCCTCATTTTACTTCCTATGCTTCTCCATTTTCTCCAGGGTTTTGCCAGAATCAGCTGGACTCTGGTCTCCAGGATTCATATAGGATTTGTCTATGACTATCAGGGCTTCTTTTATGTAGTTCTGCACAGCAGACACGGCGGCACAGATGGCCTGGCTGCCAAACCCGTGGGTAATCAGGCTGAAATGAGACAAGCAGTTCTGTATGTTCGTCTCCAACACCGGGGTGGGCCGGTTGTTCCCGTTGGGTGTTCGGTCTTGATTGAGAAGGTCTGTGAATTCTTTACACACTTGCCTGTGAAGACAGTCAACAGACCTGTGAGCTCAGTCTTGCTCTTAACAGGTCAGGAGCACAAGACAAATTACCCTGAGGATGACATCTGCGACGCAATCAATTTTTGGCCTGAGCCAAGGAAGGAGACTTTAAACTAATCTAATAGCCAATTGCTGCACTTAGCACCTATCAATGCTGGGCTCTGAGTGAAACTCTTTGCAGCAATATCTTATTTAATCCTCACTGCAATTAGAAAAGATAACAGGATTAACCCCCACCAACTGACCAAGGTCACCAGGACTGATAAAGTGGTGGGGTCAGCCATTAGGTTAAGGGTTAGCCCATTTATTTGGTGCAGGTTGGTTCCCATGAACCAACTGTGTCAAGAACCCCAAGAATCACGCATTTCTTTTTATACCGGCTGGTTCATGATGCTCCCTTTTTGTGCTATTTCCTGACTTGACGACTTCTGCTTCATTTACCATGACTTTAAAATCAATTTACTATTGGTTTCTATGAGAAATCCCACAGCTGCAGAAGTAGTTTTTGAGACATTTAATTTGCCCACATCTCCTCTGAATCCAACCTGATCGTTACACTTAAAAAACAAAAAAGTCTTGTTATCAGGAGGCAGAAGGCACACAATCTTTACTGAATGTGACAACACAAATTGTTTAACACATTTTTGTAAGATATGCAATATGAAAGAGTAGTTTAACTATTTTGAGCTCAATAATTGAGCAGCTCAAAAAACACTCATTACTGAACAATACACTTGCTTTACTTTTCTAAATCCTACCAGAAAACCTTAACATATTTGACTTTGTAAAAGAAACTTCTTTGCCATTTTCTTTTGCTCCACACCCCAACTTTTTTAAGGAGCATTTCTTTCTTGAGCACCAGGGACTCTGCTGGCCCCTCAACTTCAAGGTCAGATCGTTGAGTCATCAAGTCAGGCCTGGATACTTACTGTGCGGCCAGCAGCATGTTCCTCCTGGTTGCCATCTCATTCCGTCCTCCTAGATGAGGTCTGGTTAAATATTCGGCCACCGATTTACTAGGAAATTCTGCTTCACAAACATATGCGAAGTCCCGAGCCAAATGCACAGCCTCACCTACAACAATCAGCAATGGCGACAGACTTTAGGATGGCTGTGGTCACCACCGGCTAACTGTCCTTGTCTTTCTCTAGCACTAACGGTCTACTGCCCACTTTGCGTTCTAAATGGAACCACATACAATCCAGCTTCTAAATAGAACTTCCCGGGTACTTTCAGAAGATTTTCTCCCCTAGGAATAGAGCCTGAAATCACACAATATGAGGGGAGGAAGGCCCTGAAATTTTTAACTGTACTTGAACAATGTTAGCCAGCCCTCTGCCCAACTTGAGCAGATTATCTCGGCGAGACACACCCATGCTTTCTCTTCATAATAAGAGAGTTAACATTGTGGAAAAGCAGGGAAATTTAAAGGAGATGTGCCTATTTGACAAAAGCAAACTGGTCACTTCTCTTTATGAAACTGTGACAAAGTCTTTGACACAGAACTTTCTTTTTAAACTAGGGTGCCCCACTACTGAAGGGGGCAAGTCACTAGAATGTTTAAGAGAGGGAGGCAGGACTGTGTTTCTTATTGGAATTAAGCTAAGAGCTTAAGGTCCAACTTGGACCACCCACCCACTCTGTCCAAGTTGTTGAGAGAGCAGAGAGAGAGAAAACCCACGGAGTCCTCTCTCACTGGAGGTACCCAGTCCTGGGCTCCACGGTGCAAGGCTGGTAGAGCTTTTCAAAAATCCAGATGGTGACAACCAACACTCCCCTTGCCTTCCCGGACTTAATACACCAGAATCTGAGAACCATTGTTCCTGCACACATGCCTGGCAAGTCAGGAAACCTAGCAGAGCCACATTCATGCGCCACGCACACAGAACCCACCATTCTCCATGCAGGACAGCTGTGCCCCACAGGCAGCTAACAGGCAGCTCCTTTCTCCTTGCCCTGACCTCCAAAGACACTCGTAAAAGGTAGAGCATGGCTCTGCCAGGTCTCTTTTAGCATCGCAGCAGCGCCAGTAGACTCCAGAAAGAAAGTATTCAAAAGAATTGCCTGACTACAGGAGACCACCCCCATTGGCTCCCCAAGCCCTTAGCCAGAGCCCAGAGCGCCGGTGATTGGGCAAGGCGCTAGAGGTTGCTCAAGGCTTCAGGATAAGCCTCTCAGCGTTCCACGCCATTTTCCTGTGTACAGTAACAATGAGCTTGTCTTGTTTTTTAAAAATTATTATTTCACTTTCCCTCGCCCCCTTTTAAAGGCTGTATTGCATTCCTGGCTACTTTCCAGGGTGGGGGTGCGGGCCCATTTAAGAAACTGAAAGGTCACATCCTACTGTCTCAGGATTGGGGAGAGGGGCTCATGTGTGGGCCCCATTACTTTTTTCTTTTCATGGGGAAAATGAACAAAGGAATTGTGAATTGGGCCAGTCCCATTGTATACAAGGGCTTTTCTTTTCACTGACCACAATCCCAATATTCCCCAGCTACAAACACCAGCAACGGTACTTCTGCCCACCAGTAAGGACCAGCTTTTTAAAGGTGTACCAACTGATTCACTGCATCTTTCGAAAACTGGTTCATTTAACAGGAAATGTCTCAATACCCTATATAGTGATTTCTTAGGTTAGAAAACCAATTTCTTTTTCACAATGGTTTTCTGGGGAACCCAGAACAGAATACTTAAGCAGCCAGACGTTTAAACGTTAACTTACTTGATAAAATTACCGGGACTCATTGTAATGAACTTATGACAAATCGCTTTTATCTCTCTCTACTTGTGAGGGAATGAAAAGTGGTTTTTAAGCTTTCCTTTAGAGAAGTATTAAAGACACAACACAGCACAAAATAAAAACACCACAAAACAACAAAACTCCACTGACCTTCTACTAAGGAGGTCAGGAGCGTTACATGGGCAGCTTTCCGTCTCCCGGCTGGAAGATTCAACCCAATCTTGTCCAACTTCTCCCGCAGGGACCTGCCTCCGTTTTTAGATTTGGCTCTGAGTAAAAGAAAGTGAACTGTGGCTCTTCTTGAGAAACTACACTTAATAATTCTAAATTCCTAAAGTGCTATCAAAACTGAAAATTCATCAAAGACTGTCTACATCATGTGGATCATAATCAAATGGGACACTGATCCTCATTTCATTAATCCCTGCGAAACTCAAAAACCTCTTAGCATCACCAACATTTTTTTTTTTTAAATCACAGGACATTGAAAGTTGTACAGGAGCAGATAATTTTCACTTATAAAAACTGCAGCATCCCCCCAAAACTCCCAGGGGGAGCAAACCCCATGGAGCTCCCCTTCCCTTAATCCGGAAGCCACCACATCATACAGGGAATCAAATTCTAACCAAATGATAATTTGTTATCTCTGCTTTAGCACTTCCTTCTACATTTGGCACTTTCTAAAAGAGAAGAAGTGTACTAAAACTCTCTGAGCTGATTAGAATTCAGTGTTAGGTGTAAAAGTTACATAAATGTTAAAAATACCTCCCTGATCCCTTTTGATTATTCACCTTCAACCACCCAACCACCATGCCCAGAACGTGTCCCCCTGTACCTTCTGAGAACACCTCCCAGTAATGAGGCATTCAGGCACTCAGGCGGGGACAATCGCCTCTGGACTTCGGCAACTGTCACTTTGTATTTAGACGTGGAGCTGAGGAGGGACAATCTTCCAGGGACGGAGCAGAAGACCTCGCTGGGATTCATCACGGCCCCCACCAGCTCCTTCTGACAAGGGAGGCTCAAGGGGTTCTTGGTGATTGAAATGGGACCTGTGAATGAAGATCAGAAGTGGCAGTCCAAGGGCTGCATCCGCAAGAGACCTTTGCAAACCACTAACCTACGCTGCACGAGCTCTTTAAACAAATAACATTGCATGCTGGACTGCATGCTGGACTATCAATTGCAAGCAGATTTTTTTAAAGCCATATTCTCCAAAGATAATCAAATCTGAAATTCACAAGTTAACACCTTGGGAAGTTAATTAGTCAAGATCCCAAGCAGGGAAAGTTTTCATTTTCTAGCCACCATTAAAATCTGTTTAATTAGAACATTTGTTTTCAAAAGACTGCTTCCATACTAAATAAATGGTGACTTTTTTTCTCACTCAAGGAACAACCAAAATCACAGGACACATTCAGATCCTTTGTCAAAACCTTTCAGTGCAAGTGATCACAGTAAATTTTAAAATACAAACAAACCTGTTCGGTTATAAGTTTACTGGGAATTCAGTTTGAGTTTTTTTCAAAACCCATTTTCGCCCATTGATTTCAAGCAGTTTAACTTCAAATAACAGACCATAACTACCTTTAATTTAGGGCTACTACATTTCCCAAAACAGCCAGACTGTTAATCCCATCAGTATGTAACTTAATTTCATGAGCCACTCACTCACCAACTAATCTAATTTTCCAAATCCCTTCTCCCCTTATTCTGGGCAAACCCAACCTGTGACAGATCACCCCGCCGTGGTTTTTTTAAGGCTGTATATTTGGTAGGCCAAACTGTTTCAAAACTTTTTCTTGCAGGTCAGAATTAAAGATCCTTACCACATGCCTATTTGAAATCCGAAGTAAAATCACATCAACTCATTCAACAATTAAAATTGTCACAGAACCAACCACTCAACTAAGATGTGTGGTGTGCTTTTTTCAAATAAAATCACAGCGTGAACTCACTCTGGAAGACTTTCTCTAACATCGTAAAACGCCCTCAAATTCAAGGAGTAACATTCTCCAAGAGAAAACTGCAGAGTTACAAACCCGGGTTTTAAAAAAGAACTCCTAAGAGTTCTATACCAGGCAGCGTTCTTTTTCATTTAGGCTGGAAAGAAATCTTCTCACTCCAAAAGCCTCCTTTCCTCGAGGCCCCGTCGGTCCCTTCCACCACGAATGTCCCAAGTGAATGTCCCAAGTGGGCCACCCAATGCCCCATCTTGCCAGCATCACTAGTTAACGTCACAATGCAGGGAAGAACCAGTACAGGTCGTGCATGGCCAGGGAGGAAGAAAGCTCTCGCTCTCTACCTACCTTTGCGAATAACCGTCTGATCGTGCAGAAGCGGGTGCTGGTCGTCGACGCTCTGGGGGAAAAATGATAGTTTCCTTTAAGTTCGGGGGAGCCTGGGCGCGGGGTAGGAGAGGCTGTGGGGCAGACAGGTCTGGGCAGAAGGGAGCAAGAGCTGAGGTGCCCTCACCTGCACCTCCTCCATCTGGTGCGCCATGTCGTGGAGCCCCAGGTTCTCCACCAGGCCCGCGGCGTCCAGGGCGTGCGCGTGCGGCGGCAGCAGCAGGTCTGAGCGGCGGTAGGCATCGCGGCGGGCGCTCATGGTACCCCCGTCCAGCCCGGAGAGGTGGGGGAGCAGGCCGGCCGGGCGCCCGTGGTGCGACGGCAGGCCAGTCCCCTCCTGGCTCTGGCGGCCGGGCCAGGCCTGCTGCTGGCTGCCGGTGGGCGCCGGCTGGTGCAGGGGGTTGATGGCAGCGGCGTAGGCTTCTCCCAGATGCGAGTACGGGTCGGCTGACTGCGAGTAAGCCAGCTGCTGGTAGGGAGGTGGGAAGTAGGGTGGTGGCTGGTATTCGGCGACTCCAGTATGGGAGAGGGGCGGCGCGGGGCTATAGAGATGCTGCCCGGCCGAGGAGAGGTGGGGGAGGCGCGGGTTCCCATTGCTGCTCGCGTCGTGGCGATCCTGGGAGAGAGAAACCGAGACCCGGTTAGAACGAAACCCCGCTACTGCGAACTGGCCGAAGCCGCCGCGCAAAGCTGTGCGCCCCCGGGAACCACCGCACCAGCCCGGACCGACCCGCGGGGCCTGCCCTCGGGCCAAAGGGCACCCAGGAGCAATGTGCCCCGGGGATTTCGTTGTAAACCGCGATTCCGCGAAGGAAAGGGAGATTGGTGAAAGACCTGGGGGAACGCGCCCTCAAAGCCCGGCGGCCAAGGTCTGGGCGCTCCGACGCCCGAGGCGCTCTGAGGTGCCAAGTCCGAACCCCAGGCCTTGGGCTTGGAGAAGCCGGGGCCGGGGCCCGGGGAAGCAGTCGGCACGCGGTGCATACGGTGCAGCGAGCGCTCGCTCACGAGCCCGCACATGTTGGCGCCGCCTGGCAAAAGAAGGTGGGGAAGCGGCGAGCCGCACGGATAATGCGCGCAGCGCGGGAGGTGCGCATCTCCCCCGCCCCAGGGACCCTCCCTTCCGCGCCCTCAGGCCAATGACCTCCGGGAGAGTGACACTCCCTAGCAGGGCCTGCTACCCGGCGCCGCCCGAGGGACTCGGGAAGGAACGCTCGCAGCCCGGGCTGCCCTCCCTGCTGTGTCCTGAGGAAGATAGGACGTGAGAACGCCCTGCCCTGCCCCAGTCAGTGTCCCCCAACTCCGGGCACTGAGAGAGAGTTAAGGACCTCGAAAACTAGGCAACCTTGCCTGGGCACGTCCCCTCGACCCACGGCTCCAACTTAATTCCTCAAGGACGTGTCTCCATGGGTTCCCGGGGTCAAAGAGGTGGCGGGGAACAGGGAGAAACATGGCACTGTCGCCCCCTAGTGGAAGTGTCCGGCCCTGCAAACAGGGGCAGCCGCTTGAGGTCCCGCGGGTGCGGTGCGCTCCCGCATGCCCCCAGCCCGGGCTCTCCTCTCCCTGCACCCCGGCGCACGCCTCCCGCCGCCTGCGTCTTCTTCCTCTTCCCGCTCGCCGCCTCCCTCCCTCCCACTCTCCGAAACTCTAGCTCAACCTGTCCGACAGGCTGGAGCACTCCCGAGCGCTTACGGCCCCGTCCTGGCCTCAGGCCACCCCCCCAACACTCCCCAGCCCCCACTTCTCTTGAAAGCCAAACTTCTCTTGTTTTCTTGTTTCCCTGAGGAGGTAGCGGGGCAGGTGACAAGCCCGCCTCGGAGAAGACTCCGCAAAGGTGTCGCCGGCACGTCGCCTCGTGTGACCCCTTTGGACACAGATCTCGTGCGTAAAAGCCACGTCTCAGGGTTGTAGACAGGGCGCTCTTCCGAGAAAACGGGAAGAAGGGCTGTTTTGCTTCGCGTGAAACCGACCGGTAAGCTTTGTGGGTGGGATCTGCCATTCTTTTTCCAGGCCCTGTTCCCGAGGCTGGATATTTAGGAAAAGGCCCGATTCAGAAAAGGAGCCTCGGAGAAACGGACTAGGGGGTGTCCGGAAAAGTGGACCCCGTCCATCGAGGGGCAGCGGCGAGTGCCTGCTCGCAGCTCCTGCGCCCTCGCCCCCGACCTCGGTCCAGCGGCCCCCGCCTGCCTCCCGGACTGTACTCGGGCGGGTCCGGGTTGCGCCCCTGCACCCAGCTCACCTCGCAATCCTCTTCATACTTGACATTATCGGTTATTTTCCACAACATGGCGTCCGGCGTCCCCCAAAACAATCGCCAGTTAGGCTCCCCCCACCCCCCGAGTGGTAAGTCCAAAATTGGGGTCACGGTGGCCAGGCGTCTGCCGCCGCCCCCGCCGCGCGCGGGCCTCGCTGTCCGGGTCACCGGACGCGCATCGGCGGCTCTGCGAGCGTAGATGCCGCCGCCGCGAGTGTAGAGGCCGCTGCCGGGGACCCGGGAAGCCGCGCCCGCTCTGCGTGTCCCGGCGATAGCCGGGGGACCCGGGTGCCTTAATGAGAAGAAAATTATCATAACTCCTCCCCCGGGGCCGGCGCGAGGCCCGGGCGCTGGGCGGGGCGGCCCCCAGCCAGTCCCAGCCTAGCTCCGCCCCGAACCCCGGCCGGGCGCCGCGCGGAGACCCGCGCTGCGGGGGGCGAGAAGAGGAGTCCGGGGGGCAGCAGCCGACAGCCGCAGACCTGCGAGGCCGGGGTCCGCCGTCGCGCCTTCCATTCATCACCCCCACCATGCACACACCTGAGATTGGCAGAGCTGGGGACCGGGATCCAAATACCTAAGAGCCCCCCCTCTTTCGCCTAAAGAGCCTTCCCCCGTCCTCCAAAAGACGTTGTCACGTGGAGTTAGAGACCCCCGCGTTCGGGAGGAGGGGCGTGTCTCAATAGCTGGGGTCCCCGTGTCTCCTAAAACGTCCCACCTCACCCGCTCCACTAAGACTTAAGATTTAGGCTGGGATCATGCAGCTAGAGAGCCCCAATCCCTCCGAGAGACAGCCCCCATCCCCCGGGCTCCGTGGGCACAGCGCCGTCCGGTTCCTCCGAGGGGATGGGGGAGGGAAGGCCTTCTGGGGAGTCTGCCCCAAGCGCCACGGGGTGGGCGGGCCGCTCCACCGGCCCCGAAGTCTGGGACTACGGCATCTCGCCGCTGTCGCCCGAAGCTGCGTCTCCGCGGCTGGTTGCGGCCGGGGGCACCCGCGCGCCCTCGCCCAGCCCTGCCCAGCCCAGCCCTGGCCAGCGCCGGCTCGGCACCTGCCTCCAACGTGGCCAGACACTCAGAAGCCTCAACCCACCCAAGAAAAGAGGTGCGGAGCAGAATACAACCGCAGCGCTACCGGCGGGGGAAGAGAGGAGGTGGGTGGGAGGGAGGGACCCGAGAGGAGCACCCGCTGGAGAGGTGACCACCCCCCGTTCCGCAGATGCAGGCAGAAAACGAAACTTCCACGTAAACGCTGCCTCTCTCCTCAATGTGTATTTGCTACCCAAACTTAAAAGCAACGGTCAGTATTAAAGAATTTTAAAGAAACGAAATCCAATGGCCCAATTATCTGTAACTGGCCTTTTTCACTGCAAGGGGAAAGTCGCTAATTCCCAGGGGCGAAATTTTTTCTTGGGACGTCCCAACTGACTCAGGAAGCTGAATTTAAACATTCTGAGGGAATCAGAGAAGAGGGCTATTTCGATTTGATTCGGAATCCGATTTTGCAATAATCAATACCTATCGGTACTGTTCCCCGGACCTGGAGTGGACGCTCCTCGCCATCCGCCGAACGATTGCTTCCACCGCCTTCCTACTCCTCGGATTTGTTTGAGCTTTAACATTTCTTTAGACCCAGATGGGCCTAAAATAAAATAACTAAAATAAAAATAGGCGTTCTCCAAGCGAATCCTCCTCCCTCGCCTTAGACAGTAGACAAATCCGAGGTGATACTCCGACCAGATGCGAAGACAAAACCTGGAAGTGAAAACCACTGCGAGCTTTTCCAGCATGTCTGAGGGGCTTTGCACTAAGAAGTACAAAGGACAGTGTACACACGACCCCTGATACCTCGCTTCCAAAACACCGGGGCCTGGGGCTAAAGGAAAAACCGGCAGAAGCAGCGCTCCTGGTATTCGGGAGTGGGGGCAGGGGGCACCTGCGCAATGCAGGAATCCGACCTCGGCGCGGCAGGCAGGCTGGCGCCCCGGACGTGAAAGGTTGGGGGTCTCAGGCACTCCGGAGAGGAAGGCTGCGGCGCCTCCTTCGGCTCCCCAGACTCCCAGATGGGTGACGCGGGGGCTCTCCTCCACGCTGGGCCTTCTAGCCTCGGGTTTGACTTCAAGACCCGGCCTGGGGTGTATCTTGGGGTTAAGTTGTCTTAAGAACAAGTTGTCTCGTGCGCGCCGGCAACTTTACCCCGGAACACGTTGGGGTCTGGGCTGGGCAGAAAGGTGCCAACCCCCCACCCCAGGCCCTGGCTGTCCTTCCTTTCCGCAGCAGCGCTCGCCGAAGCCACCCGGAGGGAAAGAGATTCCTTCCAGCCCGGGGACGTCTATGGCGGAGGCAAAGGGAGCCGATGGGCCCTGAGGGTCTACGCGCCCCAGTTCGGGGAGCCCCAGGAATCCAGCGGTTTCGGAACCGCTTGGCAAAGGCCATTCCCAAGGCAGCGCAGCTGCCTGGACCCTGGCGCTGCCCACTCTCCAAAGGGCACGCGCTCAAGCTAGAGCGCGACTTCCGCGCCCTGGATGGGGAAGGCGGCTCAAACGAATCTTCCCGGCCAGAGAGACCCTGCCCGAACACGCACGCCCTCGGCTTCAGGGCCGGAACCCCGGCACGCGCACGCCTTGGTGAGGGCGCCGTAAGCCTCAGCCCTTCCTTGAGCTCAACTTGTCTTCTCTCAGCCGAGAGCAGGGAGCAGATGGCTTCTGCACCCGAGACAGACCTCCCTCCAAAGCCTCCGCCCCTCGCCGCCTGAAGCCACCAAGGCTGCGTGAAGGCACCCCTGGGCAGCCATCGCCCGGGGAAGCATGCCCCCTCTGGACCCTCCGTGGCTTCGCAGCAGCCTAACTGTAAACAGAACGTGGGGATCCGGGGACAAACCTCCCTGCACGCCTCGCATAATCAGGGATATGGGGGTGGAGAGTCGTCAGCGGCTCCCCTCTGTCGCCCCCTAGGGAGCCTGCACTCACACACACGCTTGAAGCCCTGGACCCAGGCCCCCAGGCCGCTCGGATGGCCCAAGAAACTGCAGCCAGGAGGCGACCAGGCGTCTGCAAGGACAGCAGTGCCGGGGCTGCGCGCCACCTCCACCTCTGGAAACAGGGCTCCCCGCCCTAGGCGCGAATCCTCCGCCGCCGCCCCCCGCCCCCCGCAAACCCAGAAAGGCGGCGGGGCTGGTAGACCTGGATTGGAGCTGGCCTGCGACTCCTCTTCCCGCCCCAGGGCGGGGGCGCCCTAGCGGCAGGTGGAGGCCCCCGAGTGCAAGGGGTCTGGCCCCTCCGAACAGCGTGAGCTCCGGCGGGGACCGCAGTAAGTGGCGGGGCCCGGCCAAGCAGGGCCGAAAAGCCGGGGCCTGCAGCAATGGGGAAGGAGGGCGCCCATGCACGCGCCCCACCCTCTATCCCCACGCCCTCTCTTCGCGGCCCTGGTAGCCACTGAACAGACACTTCGCCTCAAAGGATACTCGAGCTGCCTAAGCCCTCTAAGGTGCGCGCCTTGGGGCGCCACATGCATCAGTTCGCAGCCACTCCAAAATCATAGCGACAATATAGAAATAGCAGGTGGTGTGCACAGCAGCCGCTGCACACACATGGATACTTCTAGTCTTAGCCCGGGGTCCAACTCCGCTCCATTTTACTGCTTGCTTCTAAGAGCTCCGCGCCGGGCCGGGTGCTTGAAGGGCTTCGCAGCCTTTAGCTCTTCCTCGCAAACATCTTTTTACAAATAGGCTAAGAGAGGTGGGGAGTTGAGGCATCTTGTAGAGCCCAGGCTTCTGGGGAGGCCGGGGTCGTCTCTGTCCCGGATCTAGTCGGCTCGGCACGCGCAGAGGTCCTGGGTATAGTCTCTAACTTGACACCCATCGCCCCATTTCTCAGCGGGTGATGGTGAATTTTCAGTCGTCCCACTACCTCAAAGCCACAAACTTGCCTGCTATTCAAGGCCACCTCCCTAGCAGCTCTCCGGGACTTGTTAGAGACAAGCCTGGCTCTCACCTCCCCTGCCCCCGGGGACCCCTGTCCTCCAGAGGCCACGCTTGGCTGCAGAGCACCTGCCACCTCTCCACTAACATCCCGGGGCCCATCCGTGTGCAGCCTAACCGCTCCGAGCGAAGGCGAGAGCCCAGAGTCCCCAGAGGCCTTCTTGGCTCGGCGTCCTCGGCCACCACACACCTCCAGGCCAGCTAAGCCCGGCGGCCTTAACGCATTTATCTGGTCGCCGCCAGGCGAGGAGGCGGCCCACTGCGGCCAGGCACGGGGCTGCGCCCGGGGGCACCCTGCACCCCCACCGGCGCCTGGCCCACCCAGCAGGCGTCCCCCGTGCGCCTCTCCTCCCTGCCGGCTTCTGGAGTCGCATGCCCTCCGCCCAACACCTCTCCTCTCACCCTTAGGAACTGGAAATTCATGTTGCCAGCTCTTCACCCCTCGGTGAGTTGGGATTTTAAGAATGGGAGCTACGCAGGAAGAGCTCCCCAAGGGCCGAGTTGTGTGCTGTAAAATGCTCCGAGCGTTTATTTAATTAACGGAGGTGGGGGGGGCAATTCACAGCCAAAACGGGCTATCGCGATTGGAAGACACACCTGAGAAGTCCGCGTTACTCCTCCCCTGCCCTCCCCCCCTTGGCAACTGTAAACTCGCCAATTGCAAAGGGTCTTCCCGGCGTCTGAACGATCTTTACGTATGTATATGACACGCAGTAAGGAGGGCTCCTTCCATCCCGAAATTATCTTAAATGTTTTCTACGTCGTGCTGGCAAAGGATATTTTCTTATTTATTTAGTCTCCAAAGCCACATCTATTCTCCTTTCCGTGAATTCTCTGCCGTCATTTCCAACCTTGATCTGACTTCAGGCACCTCACAGGTTTCCAGGTCCAGCTAAAACTGGACCAGGGGCAGTGAATTCCCTGGAGAGAAGGAGTGGGCCGGTTTGGGGTCTTTCTTAAGTGCCAGAGAGATTTGTACGTGGGTTTCTCACACACACACACACACACCCCCAACAGCTGAGAGCCCAGTAAAAGGCAGTCTTCTTCAGGAAGACTGTGAACATAGAAATAAATGCCATGTGTTAACTATGCCACCAATTTAAATACCATGGGACCCACTGTGATCACCCAGGCCAGCTGGAGGAGAAATTAGATTTGGACAGAAGCTGTTCCTCATGACCTGGGTCCTTGATGGTTTTCACGCAGGACCTGCCCAGGGAACCCCAACAGCTTCTTTCCCAGGAGATAAGTTGAAAACATACCCAAGATTCCTCTACATATGCCTTAGAAGA